TAAAGCTACTATTCCGAAACTTTTTTCTTCAAGAAGTAACCTTTACGAAAGAGACTAATGCTTTTTATTTCTGTCACCAAGAAGATTAAATGAAGTAAGTCTTTAATATAATTTGATTATGAGGAGGGAATGCTGCCTGCTGCACTGCAGAGACAAATTTAATATAATTTTGAAAGACACTGTTTGTGCCTTTTATATTTTACCTAATAGTTTTTTACGTGGTAACATTCTATGGGTGCATGTTCTTTTTTATTGTAATTTATTTTATTTTGTAGGTTTTTCTGATATAGGTCTGTTGAGACTTCACTGTGGCCAATAAAACTTACCAATCTAGTCTACATTTATTTTCATTTACTATTTTTAAGAGAATTATTGTGTGAGCGAATCAGTTCAGAAGACAACCTGAGATCTTAGAATTAAACCCAGTGAATAACTGAAAATAAGTACACTTATTTTTAGCAAGAAGCATGTGGTTCTTTTCTGCATTTTTGGACAATGGAAAATTAGCCCTCAGTAGGATATTCATTCACTTCCCACAAACTACACCGGAACACATGTCTTTTGATTCAGCAATAATATAACTGAGATAATATAGTTATAAGTTTTATTTAGGAGCATCAGCTGGTCAAACACTGTGCTAGCATCCAGGCATATCAATGTGAAATACACTGAGAACTGGTTGGCACCTCGTGGCACTTACTATTTAATGCTGTAATATGTTAAGCATATCAATATAAATTGAAAGAAATGGTTGAAAGAAAGTGGTGCACAATCAAAAAGCCTAATGTCTCAGTCAGAGTAGGAGGACATGAGACAAGCTAAAAAGACTCAGAAGAAATTAAGTAGAGAATTGAAAGCCATGTAAGAGTTAAATATGCACAATGAAGTTTAAAAGTTAAGAGAAAGGTTTCCATGCTTCTTAAGGGTTGTATGCAGATATATATTAAAAAGGGCTGTATGCAAAGACTTTTTTTTTTTTTGTACCAGAATTTTTTTTTTTTTTGTACCACAAAACTCCCATTTTGTGTATGTCAGGCTGATATTGTGATGCTGATCTACAACCCTGGCTTGGAAAGATATATATTAAAACATATTTTAAGGGTCAAAAATGCTGTGTTGGAGGAATTCCCTTTAAAGTAAGGGTGGAAAGATCAACAAGAGCCAAATGACATAGTGCCTTGGTGTCCAAGTATGTTTGTTTGTGTTGTCAAAGTGTGAACGATTCAAGTGCTTCAATGTGAGCAGAAATTGAGTGTGATGGGGGCACACTATTAAACACAGCTTTTAAATTACAGTTCTTGTAATAGTACAAAGGATGAATTAGGATGGGGCAACAATGATGGAATGGATACTACATAATTAGGAGATTTGACTAGGTTAAAGAGTGAGAGTTAAATTAGAAAGAGCTGCAAAATCAATTTGGATATCAGTAGACATTTTTCGGAAAATTATACCTCAGTAGCAGTGAGGACAAAAAGGATGTCTAAAGGCTATTTGGTTTGTATAACTGGAAGATCAGTCATGGAAGGAAAAACAATTTTTGCTTTTGAATCAACATTACACAGAAGATACTTCTACATCTTCAATATGAAATGATAGATTAGATGGTTGATCTGAGTCAGAATCTGAGAGATAAACTATTAATCCGAGTTAGAGATATAGTATTGAAAATGATAAACTTATTATGATTTGAGATGTAAGATAAAATGTCTAAGAAGCATATACAATATAGATGAAAATTATTGAAACCTTTCCCTCTAAAGATTTCTGTTGAACTTTGGTTACAAGTTTAATGATTTAGTCATAAATGCATTCAGAAAAGTTTTAAACAATGAAATTATTTTCATTTAGAACCATTATAAAAGAATATGAGTATTAAATTTCAAAACATAAAACAACCATATTAAAGCACCTAATGGATGTCTATAATATTTGGGTGTTTTACCTATTAAATACTTAACTTAGTACTGAGTGTATAAAGGTATAAATTCAGTAAAGTTTTACAAGTACTTGTCAAGGAGATTATAATGGGCTTTGGGAGTAAGACACTTTAACTGGAATGAAAATTGTTGACATATTTTAAAGAAGATGTTGTATAAAGTGTATGAAAGCCTGTCTCATCCCAGGATTGTATAACTCGCAATGTGTATGAGTCTGTGGATGAATTTGGAACAGTGATAAAAATATTGTAAAATCAAGCCAACCAGTAGCTACAGTGCAAATTGTGCAGCTCTGTGTAACATAAAGAGGTTGAAGTTTGTTATCTTCATGATGGGAATTTTCCATTAAAATAAATACTTTGCCTTTAACATGAAAGATAAATTAGGAATGAACCCCTCCTCCTCAGATATCAGTTATAAGACTTTGTATGGTTCAAGAAAAATCTTAAGTAGAAAGCGCTTGTGTTTTTCATGGAAATGAGAAGAGAGCCATACAAGACATAGATGGTTTCTGTTTATCACAAACTGAATTTACTTAGTGTATCGCAGTTGCTAGAAAAGCTGATACTAATTTTGCTGTATAATAATGGAAATATCCCATTTGTTCGTTTGCAAGTTGATCAATCACTTTTTTTGTGGTTACTGGTACTGATAAGCAAACCCACAAGGAATAAGCAAGCCAAATGTTAAGTATTGTGAAAACTCTGCCAAGTCAAAACTGATGAGGGAAAGGATACTATTAACATGCCCCCTTTAAAAATGACATAATCAAATTAGTTATACCTGGCATACTGGATATTTGTGGTTTAGTGACAGAAAGACAAAGTAGTCTTCTCACACGTTTTCATAACTGTGATAATCAGGTAAGTTGATTAGCATACGTGAAAATTCTCATCAAATAAGGCCTCGGTTTGTGTTCAGTTCAGACCCACCTGGGGCTGAGAATCACGGAACTACTTTCTATTTCTATTTCCTTACTGTTTTGATGCCAACTGATTGGAGGCCCCCCAGTCAGGGGAAGAGCTGGCAGGGAGGGCAGTCAGCTTCCTGGCTGAGGCTGCCTGAGGGCGCACAAGGGTCTGGGGTTGAGTCACTCTGAATGGTGCATACCTTACATACCTGTGCTGTTTCCTCCCTTGGAGGGTTTTTGTGCCCCACTTAGGCTTTGAGCTCAAGCTCCCTGAAATCTCAGTGCCACCATCCAGTCAGCAGGGCTCTGACACAGACAGAGGGATTGGACACAGACCTAGGTCCCCACCATCCATAGAAGTAAGATTTTATCCTCAGGTACATACAATCTTGGGAAGTGTATACCGTTTAAATTTTTATTCTTCAAATGTCTTCTTTTAATGAAACAAGCACTTATGTTTTAAAATTGGAGGGATTGTGACTTTTTCTGCTCCCAGTTCCCTTTTTTGGTTTCTACATTTTCCCTCATGTTTTATAGCAGCAATTATTCTTAAACTGAGCTAAGTAAGTGGTTCCTCTGAATCCATTTCACTTAGTTTGGGGCAATGAGAAATTCTCCCGAGCCTACACATAGCATTTCCATACAGAGGTATTCTCGGTGTTGCCCTTTCCTCCACTTGTTCTGTCATGTTTCACTTTTCACATAATCTGAATTATCTAAAAGGGCGATTAACTGAGGCTAACCAAACCTGTTGGTATCTTACCTCACCAGCAACAGCTGACCTAGAGCCTTGCTTTGGGCTGTAGTCTAGTGTTCCATCACTATATTATTTTAAGTCATTGGGCTCTGACTAAAGATTAGGAAAGACTCTCAATTTTAAGTCAGTACAATAAGATAATTAGAAATTCTAGGAAAACCAGATTTCCAACTGCTTTCCCAGTACATAGATCTTGTTATAGATGAATAAACTGCTTCAGGAAATTCTGAGTTCTTTCTCACTGGACACTGTACTAGTCTGTTTTCTGTGGTTACAATAAAACTATTTAAGCTGTCTAGCTTTATAGTCTTGTAAGGAATAGAAAAGTCTTGTTTATCTTAATCTGGAAAGTTTAATGACTGAGTGGCTCTATCTATCTTTGGCATGTCGTGAGGTCCTGGTGGCGGATGATATTCCATAGGTTGTGGTGTGAACAGAAGAGATTACACAAAGACAAGAAAGCCAGAAAAATTCAGAGGCCAGCCTTGTTACTTTTTACGAAAACTTGAACTTGCAGCAACTTACTGGGATATTGCAAGCACTCTATTAAACTATCAAAAGTGTACCTTGTGACCTAATTGTCCTCTGCTTGTCCCTACCTGCTGAGTGTTCCACCATCTCTCAGTATCACCACATAGTGGACCGAGCTTCCCACAAATGAATCTTCTGTAAGACACAGTGAGAACACATTCCTACCATGGAAGATGCCATCGAAGAAAATTTTATTGATAATATGTTCGGATCAATTTCATGAGCATGTTGTTATGTATTTGCTCCAGGCTCCATGATTAGCAGATCTCTATGACTAATTGAATATTCTGATGCAATCTTCTGGAAATTGTTAAAAACTTGTTAATAAGAGACCTCAGACATTTATTTTGCGTAAGGCTCTTCAAATTATATACTTAGTCCTAATAGTGTGCTTTGAGGGTTGGGAGATTGGAAAAAGCCCTTTTTAAAAATTTGATTCTCATACAAATATCAGCAACAGATTTTTGTAAGCAAGAGTGTTTTATGAACATACATAGCATGGTTTTCAGAGAGTAAATAGATTATAGTAATAAACAATTGACTTTTTAATTGAATCTATGTTTTGCTAATGTATTTTAATTTTACGAATAACTTTTTTCCATAACATGTTATATGACTTAAATATTGTGTACACTATTCATGGGTTATTATGAAGAACAACTTTACTTGTACACAGTGCAAAACTGAAAACACCATTATACTGAAAATTTTCTCTTGTTTTTTGCTACATTTCCGTGTGGTAGATGAGTATTCTGATAATATAAGTGTCTTTATTACTAGAGAAATTCTAAGTGCTCTCTTTTCTCTTTTTAATAGGATTTATTATAATTTACTTTCTTTTTTATTTATTCTTTCTTGGAAGGGAAACATTTGGGAACAGATTTTACGAATACCCTTCATCTTGGAAATTATTAATGCGGTTCCCTTCATTATTTCAGTAAGTCCCACAATCTTTAAAAAATATGCAAATTTAAGCAAGTTATTTAAATCTAAATACTTTTAAATAATATAGCACCTTAGATAAAGGTATTTAGACTGGTTAGAATCATAATACTGAAAAATAAATAACTGAATTGTGGTGTCATAACAAAAATGTAATGAGATTTCTTGCTTATATTATACAGTTTTTGAAAATAAAAAGTAGATAAACAAATATTTGTAAATGTTTCTCACAATAAGAACATATTTATATTCAGTTTAGCTACAGGATTTACTATGAAAAGTTTCTAATAGAAGGTTGTCAAAAACTAGACAAGTCTCAATTGGCTTTTGTCAAAATACTACGTAGTACCAATTCCACAGTGAGCCTGTTTAAGCACAGTCCCATAGATATGTAACTCAGTATGTACCCATTTGCAAAATTAGGTTTTAAACTCAATTTCACAAAACAATGTCTTTGGTCTTAGTCTCTTAACACTTTATTTGAATTATATTTGAAACATTTTTTAAATAAGTAGAATTTTCTGAAGGTATTGCTCACTTCTGGCAATTATTTAGAGTGCTTCATATACAGTGGGAACTAAAACTAGATTAGATAACAAGCCAAATAAACAAAATTCCAACTGAACATAGATTTACCAATTTCACATAAAGTGGTTGACTCGGAACAGATTGGATTGCATTGCTTTAAAAGATAAAGCTCTTCTCTTCACTGCTGCTTACCAGCTCAAGTTACAAGGAATAGAGAACCAATGTTCTACCATAAAGCAGCATACTGAAATATTTATTAATGGAATTAGCACGTTACATCTGATAACTAATGAGAATGCATTATTTTCTTTTCAATTCTGTAATGATTTCCCTAAGGAAAACTTAGACAATGAATGAAAGATCCTATCTGCTCCATATATTTATTTGATAATGATTTTCAGTTATATGCTATCTGCTTTCAATGACTCTATTATCTATCGTGCATTTCATTTGGTCATCTATTTCTTTTTAATTTCCTAAGTACAATTTCTTGGTTGGAGGTAAAAATTAAATTTTGGCTTGTATTTTAGATATTCTGGCCTTCATTAAGGAATTTATTTGTTCCGGTCTTTCTAAACTGTTGGCTTGCCAAACATGCCTTGGAAAATATGATTGTAAGTATAAAAATTAAGGGCAAGTACAAAAAAATCCTGACATTTTTCCATCATTCCCTTTTTCTACTTCCATTCAGGGTTTAAACAAAGATGTTTGGGGTGTAGTCATTTTTGCTCTCATTCTGTCTCCTCCCATAGGAAGTAAACCATGTGAAATTTTGTTTAATCAGTTCTTCAAATATTTTAGTTTTATTATTTCTGTTAAATTAATTTAGTGTCTTAGCA